GCCTTTATCAATAGCCAGATTACATGTGGCTGTTAGAATTCTGGCAGGATCATGCCCTTGGCTCCTTTTTGGATACATACCAGTTGGTAGGTACCATTCTGTCAGTATGGAAAGGCTAGTGAGTGCAGATGGTCAGAAACCATTCAGTTTCAACTCCTAGGTCAGTGTCAGGAGCTTGCATTGCCTTCTCTGCTGAGGCACCAGCCAGCAAGACAGACTCCTGAGGCTCACTCATTTTGGACATTTCATTCTGGTCTGTCATGAAGCAGATTCAGTTTGTCAATGCAAGCCTAGCAGACATGTGACTCCCTGGATGTGACAGATCTTCCATTCGTCATACTGAAGCCCCTCTTCAACATGCTGGAGATGTACTCCTGCAACCCTGCTTTGTGCCCAGCACTCCCTGTACACTACATGCATGTGGTGCTGGCTCCAGTGTGGGGAAGGGCTAACTCTGGGGCTAAGCTTTCCTCAAGTTCTTCAGGCCATGTGCAGGGAACTCACAGTTCTCCCACATTAGGTTCTTATTCCTTCACAAGCTACCTTTCTCCCCTTTCTCAATTTCTGAGCCCACCAGGCAAAGCAATTTTTTATCTTCGTCCCATTTCCCCACAAACATGCAAGCCAAAACCATACCAGCTGCTCCTACCTCTCTTGAACTGACTGACAGCTCCCCAGGCATAGGGGCTGACTCTGTGATCAGACTCTGGGAATGCTTTGTAGTATACTTGTGCTGCATGGCAGATGAAAAAGCATTTGAATGCCATTGTATATTGGGATTGAGTGTAAGCAGACTCACTGGAAGTGATACAGCTTCTCTTGTCCACAATTCATAGTTTATTTTATAGTTATAGAGAAAGAGAATTTGGAAAATTCCCTTTTAAGGGGACTAAATGCATGAAAAAATTATGAAGTGTTATTTTGCCAAAATAATTTCTGGCTAATAGTTTAATACATTTTTTTTTCTACCATGAATCTTCCTTTTCAGTCCCTGTCACTGCTTTTACTACCTTTCCCCCTTACTCTCTATTGCCCTTTAGAGCTCCAGGTTATTAACCTGTAATTTTGTACCCTTCCTGGGTGTCACCTAGCACTGATGTGGAATGTGGAGCAGTTCAGCTATTCATTCAGATCTATAAGGGGAAAAGACTGGCCAGCTGGCACCCACATCACCACACTTCAACCAGCTCTGCAGCTGCATCTCCTTTATTAAGACCCTTTCCTTCTGCCAGATTTTATTTGTCAAATGATGGGTTTACTTACATTACTGTAGTGTGAGAAAGACAAAAGGAAGGGTAAAAATAGGCTTAAATCCCATGTAAAAAAGTCATGAGACAAGTCATGTGCCCAGTACATTAGTCAGTCCCACGAAGTGTGGATTGAGCCTTCTGAGGTAGATTTAGAAATCATTTTGGCACTTCATAAATTGCATTATGAGCTATTTAAATATAGAAAAAACAAGCCTAGAAGAGTGGTCCCCCATGCCTTACAGTAATTGCATTAAGAAACAATTGCATACATAGCAACAAAGGAAAATAAGAAATTAACATGTAGTGACTAAATGACAGGCCAAAGGAGGTTTAGAACTTTGAGGGGAACTGTAATGCTAAGTTAGGAAGTCAGGCCAAAGAGCTGTGAGCAGCCCTGGCACCTGACTCTGCTGTGTACAAGCAGAGCCTGAGAGCAGCAGGTTCAGAAAACCCTGCTGCCCCCATGCCCTGTCTGTCCTTCTGGACAATGAAGAGCTCAGACAAGATCTGGTCTCAAAAGATGCTGAGCTCTGACATCTCAGAGGCAGTAGGGGCGGCTCGGTGGTACTGCCAAAGTCCTCTAATGATTCATTTTGCTTTTTCCAAGTGCTCCCAGATGGCAGCTCCCACCTCTGGCCACTGGTACTCTGGATCCCTGTTCGCCACCCTTCTTCTCATTGCTGCCTGGCCTCAGGAGAGAAGCCTTCCCAACAGGTGATCAGCCTGGTGCAACCACAGTCCCTCTTAGCTGCTGCTGATTTTTCTTTGGCAATTTCTGAGAATTTCTGGAGTGAGTTTGCTAGTAAGTAAGCCCTGCACCTGCATCCTTCTCAGACTCATTCTCAGTGTCACCACTAGTGAGTCACAGGTTCATTTGCTTTTTCTCTTCTGTAAATAAAGAGTTCACAGCCACCTCCTAGGTCCTGTATGTTTCTCACACCTACACAGTAAAAGCACAGCTGCTTGGTGTTAAAACATCTCCAGGAGGAATGGTGCCACTTGTAAGACCTGAGTTCTTGATTTATGCTGCTTATAAACAGGAGAATCCTATGTGCTTTCCCGGTGTTGTGAGAAAGCCCTGCAGAGCCTGTGGTTGCTCTGTGCTGCCATATCACCCTTATGTAACCTTGCCTGCACCTTCTGACTCCTAAGGGTGACATTCAGTGCCAGAAACCCCATCATTCTGGGATCTAGTCAGCTCACAATAACTGCGAATAGCTATGGTTTTGGCTGTGGACCTTCCCCCTTTCCTCCCAAATGTATCAAAAAGTCACGTGAGGCCATTGCTAAATGTTCTTGTCTCCTTTAAGTTCATGTTCCAGTTTGTACAATTTCATGATAAAGTCAGACTGTGGCAGTTATAGTGTTAAATGAGATGAAGATAGGAATGCATTCACCTTTTTAGTCTGGAACAGATTCAGACTTCCCTACTGCCAAATTCCCAGTATGTTCAGTAATAAAGTGTGGCTTGTAAACATGTCAGCAGTTAATGGGGCCTTGAATCAAGTACTCACTCATTCCACCAACTACTGTTGGTGCCAAAAGTGGTTCAGTGCTTATTATTTTACATCTTTTTTACCGAGGACTTTGTGACTTTTCCTAAGGTGATAAAACTAAAACTGTAACAGAAGAGGCTTTCTGATAAAGGTTGAGCAGAAATAATTTATAGACTTAAAAATATTTTTATTTCCCAAAATAATAGGACAAATTTTGTGGCTTTATTCCCTTGGGTTCTAGACCTCTCAAACTGTCCAGTCATTAGAGACTGTGGAAGGATTACATTTGGATAAAAACTAAAATACCACAAAATCCAGTGGAAGGCTTGACCCTGAAGCAGGTGACCATTGTTAGCTTTGTTTGTATTGCCAAAATTTGAAAATATTTTTCTAGTGTAGGCCAAACAACTGTGGCTATTTGGCCATAGCTGCTTGCTTGTTTGTAGCATCAGCTAACATTCTTCTCTGATTTCAGTCTGAGTATTCTGATGTGGGTTGGGTCTGAAGATCTTTTCTTAGATCTTTCCTTTCAAGGAACAAGCTGGTATTAAATGACCCAATCACGAGCTCCTAATGTTGCAGATCCTTCCTCTGGAGAACATCCTACATTCTCTGACTAGAAACCAATGATGGATTGGTTACCGCAACAGGAGATGGGAGACCACAGTCCAGTGCTTTCCCAGAGACATCTGTGGGATTTGAGACAAGTCCCTTCTTTGATGGTCTGTGGTGTTCTGTAAATGGGGATTTGAAAAAGAGTGGTAGGATTATTATTTATATACATTATAACATAGTCTCAGATCCTAGCTGTGGACACTCATTGTGCTAATTACTAATGGGAGAAATGGGTCACAATGTCTTCACAAACAACTCCAGCTGAAAGAACCAATCAAGTTCTGGAAGAATGGCTGTGGGGATTTTACAAGAAACAGGTGTTAACGTCTTAGAAATGGTCCATAATGTCTTAATGAATATTAAGCCGCATTTTTTGAAGAAGCTAGATAATTTGAGTTTCTAAACTTTAAGGCAATATGTAGTACGTGGTTCGGGAAGTCTGTACCTTCCTAGTGCCTTAGCTAATGGGGAAAGGAAGAGGGCAACCTGCAGCCATGAGTTTAGGAGAAAAGGAGGCTGTATCCTCCAAAAATTTGAGAGACCCCATTGGAGTATGGCCAAGTGGACTCCATCCCTTTACTCAAAGTTGCAAGATTCCTCTGTCTCTTTTGTGGACACTGGCTTTTCACAATGTGATTTTCTGCACATGAGTAAGTGTTTCATTTAATTATGACCCATGAGATGGCAGCTGGTCACCATGAAGGGGGCATTTTGGCAGCACTCATCAGTGCAAAAGGCAGGGATAATATGAATCTTGACTTCATCGCAGGTACTCAGAGTTTAGAAGAAGGCTACTGAGATTTCAAGTCAGAAATGTGTATTTGGTGTTAAAAAGCTGTAGTGTGCTCAGCTCAATCTGTTTGCCTTCAGATGTTGAAAACATGTGATTGTGGAGTGAAGCAAACATTGAAATTCTGGACTTCAACCAGGACTTCGCTTTTCATATACAACTGCCTGATTTCAGTACATGATGGATCTCAACTTGCAAATGCCAGAGTACTCATAGCCGGGTGAGGACTGATTTTGCCAGCCTCTGATGACCTCTCAGCAGCCCCAAGTGAGGGCACACTCCTGCTCTGCTGTCTCCCCCACCCCATCGCCACTGCCGCATAGAGGTTGTGCTTTGCAAAACCTTAGCAATTATCAGTGCTGTTCTAAAAGCCTGTGCAACATCTGGAGCAAAGGGTGGCTTCCCTGGGGACAAAAAATCATGGAAATTTTCCTGTTTGTATTTCTGGAGAACAGGGGGTGAAAATTTTTGTTTGAAACCACAAATTTCAGGGTTGCGGAGCCATAAGGCAACCTTCACTCAGCCCAGGGTCACAGCTTCTGACCCCTCAGGCACAGCACGGCTGCCGGGCCCCTCCGCAGGCTGCGCTCCTGCCCTACAGCGGGGCAGGCAGGGCCCCACCCCGGCCGGGGCCGTCCCACCACGGGCCGCGGCCTCCCGGGAGCGGGCGGCCCTGGACCGGCGCCCGGGGAGGGCCAGGCCCGAGCCGCTGCGAGCCCCGGGGGCCCGACGCGGTGAGTGCCTGGGCACGCCAGGCGCCGGCGAGCCCGCGCCGTGAGGCCGTAGCTGAGGCGGGGCCGGCGCGGCGGCGGGGCCGGGCTGGGGGCGGTGGAGGCCGGGCCGGGCGGCATGATCGGCACTGTGCTCTGCTACGTGCTGCTGCCGGCGGCGCGGCTCCTCCAGGCCCTCCGAGGTAACCCGGCCCCGGGCGGGCGGCGGCGGGGGCACGGGGAGCTGCCGGGGGTGGCCCGGAGGGGCGGGGATGTCCCTCGCCGTCCCCCGCCCTGGCCTGAGGGTGGTGCGGCCCGGCGGCTGGGGTCGGTGCAGCTGCCCCGGAGCTCCCAAGGCTCCGGCTCTAGGCAGATGGGGCGTGGGGCTGCTGGGCCGGGCCGCAGCGGGGAGCTGCGTGTGTGGAGGGAACAGCTGCCGGCTGTTGTGCTGCAGAGGCAGAGTGCACTTTGCGCCGGGGCTCCAGCTCCTGCCGCCAACCTGCTCTCTAGGCTTGGGGAGATGCTTGGAGATAGGCAGCTCAGAGATCTGTGATCCCCCAAGGACCTGCGGGTGACTTCGTGGATGGACTTATGTTTTGTGTGCATCGCTATTTCACTTAGTTTCCCTAGATCCTGCTGCTACTTCACAGTCTGTGATTACTGAGCTCATGTAAAGCCACCTTCCAGCCTGAACCTGTCCCTGGGCCTGTAGCAACTACTGGGCTGGCACCCTGTCTTTTTTCATAGTGAGCAGCGAGCTGACTCCTCTCAAATTCAGCTCCTATTGTGTATTAACAGGCTTTTGCAGGCACTCATCGTGCCTGATCAGGGGCGTGTGGAAACATTACCTTGGTGTGTTGGTGTTTCTGACATTAATGAACTTAATTACAAACTGACAGAGAGGAGTATGGTTCTTAAAGCTCCATTTCTGACACATACAGAAAACTTTGACACAAAAGATATAGTAAAACTATACATGAATGTTGCTGACTCCTCTATGTTACTGCTCTGGCTGACTGACAGGGATGCAGAGAAAAAAGTGATTTGTAATCAACAGTAATTGCTAGTTAACAGTAGGGACAAGTGTCTGTGCAGAATTCATAGTGAAGCGTAAATGCCATCTCTTGTATAGATGCAAGTGAAAAGAATCTCTGTCTTTTTCTACTTTACTGCACAAATATTACCGTATTCAATGTTACATTAAAACAGTATAAAGTGGGTTTTTTTTGCCACATGTCAGTCATCAGGTGATCTGTAATTCTTATCAGGATTTCTTCTGTGCATATACTCTCTCTAATGAGGCATATGTTGGTCCCTATGTGTCTTCATTTTTCATCTCTTAGTAACAGAATGGTTTTTCTTCTACAATGCATTCTTGTGATGTATTTTACTCTCTTAGCTGATTGCTATTTCTTGCTCAGTCCCTGGAATGAAACTTGCTCCAAAAGATGGTCTCTTAGCTTCTTAGCCCATGCACGATCAACTAACTTTTAGAGACTGCCTTTACATATGTTGCTGAGAGCTGATATTTCCACAAGGCCTTTCAGCTTGGCTGACTCTCTGTGCTGCTGCATGAGTTAGAATTGCATTCTCTAGATTTGATAAAGCCATTGCTATTGTATGCAGTTCCAGTGGCTTGGACTAATATGACTGGATTTGGACTGTGGCTTAGCATTCTGGAGGAGGCAGGGGAAGTTATTTAGACTGTAACTTTTTTCCCTCAGAGAAATAATTTGTTTGGGTTACTATACTGAATGGTTGTATTGCACAGAGTTATAGCAAATGTGTTGGAATAAGAAAATAATGAGTAAGAAAGCATTTCTGGCTGTTTGATTTTGATTTTGTTTTTAAATGACAGATGCTTTCTTTACCTATCGAAAGAATGTGCTTCTGGCGAAGAGCCCGTCCACCCAGATAGAAGGTGTCTTTGCTGCAACCAGAGGAAGATCAGTTCCAGAAGAGCAAGAAGCCCTTCTCCAGCAGTGGCTGGAGGAAGGAGCAGGGAATTTGCCAGCCAGTGAGAGTGTTCCAACAGTGAGGAAAGTATCAGTTACACTCACTAGTGACTGGTTAGAAGGTTCAGAACTATTGATGTCCAGCCTCAGTGACCTGAATACATCTCCGGAACTCACCCAGTGTACTGATCAGCAGCACTTGGAGCTAAATGCCTTGGCTTCTTCAGACCTGCAGGATCATGCAGTGGCTGAACTGGCCAGATTACCATCCGAGGAAACAGTGACTGTAGCAGGCAGTGCTCCTTGGGCAGCTGTGGTCCCACAGACAGATCACCAGACATCTGGCTGTGCTGGTATCAATGTGGAGGTGCTGAATGATGACCCAGCTGTGCTGGCCTGGAGTTTAGCATGTGATGCAGAGGCAGTGCCACCAGTGCTCCCAGCCCAGCCCATTCAGGAAGCGGTGCCATTTTATCCTGTCTCATCGGAGGTGCCCTACCATGGTCAGTGATGGCTCTTAATCTAGTGTTTAGTTTGGGATTGGCATTTGTAGTGAATGTGGTCAGGTTATTGTGTTTGGGCTTGCTGTCAGCAAGACATTGGTTGCCCCTGCAGAGTTGACAGGATCTGCTAGTGAAAACTGTAAAGTGAGTTTTTGCTGAGGAGGGCTGGTCACAGCTAGTGGTTTCTGTGCTGTGAGACTGTCAGATCTGAATATCAATATATGTTCCTTACTGTTCTCAAATGCTGGCTTTGTACTCTAGGAAGCACTGAAAAGTGGGTCTGGTGTTTCAGTATGCTTGACTCTGGTCATGTGTTATGCCATCCCTACAGATAACTATCCATAGATATCCAGAAAGAGCACCTGAAAACCAGAGTGGGTGTGGGTTTGCTCAGAGGCTAGAGTGCCCTAGCTTGGGGAATGAGAATGGCTGTTCTCTGGGTCCCAGGGGAACCAAAGTATCAGCAAGGTACCCAGTGCAGCTGTAACTTTGCTTTTTGTCTCTTGCATATAGAGATCTTATGGAGAGACTGGGAGGATCTTTCTGTCCAGCCCTGTGTCTTAGAGCAGGTCTCAAAAAACACTCCCCTCTTTGAATTTCGAGTCATGTCTTACAACATCCTTGCCCAGGACCTGGTGGAGCAGGGCTTTGATCTCTATGTACACTGTCATCCAGACATCCTGAACTGGAACTACCGCCTTCCAAACCTTTTGCAGGAGATCCAGCATTGGGATCCTGATGTAAGTATGACTAAGCCCTCTCTACATCAGTGTCACCAGAATTTGAATTCCTTGTTTGATCTAACAGTACTAAGAAAAGAAAAAGATGGGGGCAAGTCCTAGGAAGATACTGCCTGCTTGGTAACTGGACACTGATTGGTCTGAGAATGTGGACTTTCACAGACCGTGTTTTTGGTGTATGTCTTGCTTTGATTGTAGAAACTAGTCATACTTTGATAGCAGGGCTTAACTTTTATAAACAGCAGAAGTAGAGGAAGAAGGACCTGTCTTCTAAGGCAGTACAGGAGGGGAAGCCTGCATAGAAGAGGACTCCATGAATTTCTTATTCTTTGAGTCCTCTCTATGGGATGAAGGATCTTTTATCTCATTGCTGAAAAACTGAATGATATGCTACTGTGACCCAGAAAGTTACTGCTTTTCATCTGGAAAGTACAGATGAAGTGATGACATTTCTGTTTGGAGGGTTGGTGTGTGAATGCACTTTTCCACTTTCTTCCTTCCACAAAATAAGGTAACTAGCAAATACTTGTGGAGCAAGTGAGGTCTCTGCCTTCCTTCCAGGTTCTGTGTCTCCAGGAGGTGCAAGAGAACCATTACTGGGAGCAACTGGAACCAACATTCAAGGAGATGGGTATGTCCTGCTTTTGTGGGTCTGTACATCCAGCTCATGGAACTGGCCAAGCAGTGCTTCCTGCTTAACATCTTCTATGCACTCAGTTTCAAGAGACCTCTTCCTGTTTGCCAGGTGGCTGCTGGCCCTACTTCTGAGCTATCTGCCTAGACCTTTGTCCTTTCTTTTGCAATTGATGTCTCTGAGTTGAAAGATCAGAGTAACAAAACAGAGGGCCCTAGAAGGACAAGGAGAGAGAAAATACCCCCAATAATTAATAATAAAGGGTGGTTATTGGAAAAGAATTGGGTATATTGCTGTATCCAAATGTAGTAGGAACCTTTTCTATACAGACTTGCTGAGCCTGAAGTAGTGAGTGGATAAACCTTTTAATAGGTGATGGTTTCTTTTCAGGCTTTGCTTGCTTCTATAAACGGAGAACCGGGACGAAGACAGATGGATGTGCAGTGTGCTATAAGCGCAGCAGGTTCCAGCTGATCAGTCTCAGCCCCATAGAATACTTCCGGCCTGGCCTGGACATCCTCAACCGGGATAATGTGGGCTTAGTGCTGCTGCTGCAGCCTGTGCTCCCAGAAGGTCTAGGTCTGAATGCAGTCAGTCCTTTGTGTGTGGCCAACACTCATGTGTTGTTCAATCCCCGTCGAGGAGATATCAAACTGGCCCAGGTGGCATTGCTGCTAGCAGAGATTGACAAAATTGCAAGAACTACTGAAGGCAGCTACTATCCTGTCATCTTGTGTGGAGACCTGAACTCTGTACCTGATTCTCCACTCTACAAATTCATCCGGAATGGTGAACTTTCCTACCATGGGATGCCAGCCTGGAAGGTAGTTGCCAGCCAGAATTGGGATTGGATAGCTCTTTTTTGTCTGCTGCTAGAGAAATGCATGGCTGCATTCTTCCTCTTGTGAGGAAATAGTCTTAATACTGAATTGAATTATTCAGCAGTCTTCCCCAGTGTCTCCAGCGCTGCAGGGGAAAGAAACGGACAAGTGCGTGCATGTTGTTTCCATCACTGCTCTTCTGGTTTCTCTTGAGGCACACTTGTGATAATAGATCACTTAATATAAAGTCTTTTTTTTTCTTTTCCTGTGGAATTTTTGTTCCTGTGTGTCTGGAAGTGTAGGGAAATGCAACTCCACCAAGACTTACTAAAATTTTTTGTTCTAAAAAAGTTCAAAGTGGGTCTCTTGTGGTTGTCTTACTGTGTGTCTGTGATCAAATATATGGTTATCATTCAAGTTAAATCATCACTTCAATAAGATACCTGTAAAGTATCTTGTCAGGTGACTTTTAGCTAATTATATCTGTCCCCTACAGCTGAAGGTTTACTATATCTTTACCATACTCTGAATAGCTTAGCTCATGCCTTTCTAAGAGAGCATTCTCCTGTCTTGCTCCTGGCAAGTGTATATATGTACATTGTCTATAGCTTTCACATCTGCTGTCTGTCACTGATGGTTGCTCTCCTTTCCTGGCCTTCTTGCAGGTGTCTGGTCAGGAAGACTTTTCCCAGCAATTGTATTCACGAAAGCTGCTGGCCCCACTGTGGCCAAGCTCACTGGGTGTAACAGACAAGTGCCAGTATGTCACCCTGTGCCAGCCAAAGAAACCTGGTGAGCTCCAGTATTCACTGACAATATGAGTTTGCTGAAGATGGGCAGTTTGTGGGCCTTGATGTCTCTCTGAGTAGCTTGGGCATGTGCTGCATGAGGAACTTGACAAAGATTCTCTCCTTCTACTTTGTATATGAGTTAAATACAATTTTTTCCAGAACCTATTGGATTTCTGCCATTTTCTTTCCCTAGTGAGGAGCAGAATGTCCCTCTACCAGTAACACTTGCTCTATGTCTCTTTTATATTCCCAGACTTACACTTTTGTGCAGTTGTAAACTATGTTCAGCAGGCATTGCTTTAATCTCCGGGTGTTTGGGGTGTAGTTTTGAATAGTATTTGCAAACCACTGTAAAGAAATCATTCCTAAGATCCAGTTACAATCATGTCTGTTCTCTGCATCCATTGAGAGGATTAAAAAAATGGAGCCCACACAAAATAGCTTTTGTTGAAATTGTGAATGTAGAACTTGTATTCAGCCTGATCTCCAGAAATGTTTTTCTCAGCAGACATTTCCTGGAGTTGCACACTAACTGATCTGCTTGAAAGTCCCTTGAACTTTTGGTGTCTCAGAGAGGACATTCTTACTTTGTGCTGACAATGACTGTTGCATCTGAGGGATAGGAATAGGTGTGCTCTGTTCTTCTACTTTTACACATCTGTTCTACATGTAGGTTATCAGGTGATTTCTAGTCACATGGTATCAGAGTGCTTGGGAACAAAAGCCTCTCAAACTAAAGAGCTCTAAGAGGCCCAAAGGTCTGAAATATAGGTAGGTGTTCCCTGGAGGTATGACTTTGCTGCAGTTACTTTCTTCTTTTAATTTGTGCTTTTCTCTGCAGGGAGACGCGAATACAGCCGGGACTTCCTGCTGCAGTTCCGCTTTTGTGATGCTGCCTGTGAACGACCGCCGGAGCTGGTGCTCCTGGAAGGTGTGACAGATGCTAAACCAGGTATTAACGGGAGACTTTGCAACTTGTCACTCTCCTCGCTCAGTGGAGCCTTTCTTCTGAGGACAGACTGAGAGAGTTTGGACTGGAGAAGAGAAGGCTCCACTGAGGCCTCATTGTGGCCTTCTAGTACTAAAAGTGGGCTAATAAAAAAATGAGGGAGAGTGACTATTTACACAAGCATATAGTGATGGGACAAGGGGAATGGTTTTAAATTTTCTAAAATTCTCTACACAGAGGGTAGTAAGGCACTGGGCCAGGTTGCCCTGAGAAGTTGTGGATGCCACACCCCTGGAAAATGTTCAAGGCCAGGTTGTATGGGGCCCTGGGCAGCCTGATATAGTGGGTGACATATTTACCCATGGGATGGAGGGATGGAACTAGATGATCTTTAAGACTTCTTCCAGCCCAGACCATTCTGTAACTGTATGATTCTATGATTTCAAGGAAAACATGAGGTGGAGGTAATGCCTGGTGAGAAAAGGGAAAGGCAGAAGGGTGCCTTCTGTGACCATGATTAGATTTCATGAGAGCTCAGAGAAGTATGCTTTCCTCCCTCATACACACTAACTGTGTTCCTTGAGATGCACTGATATTCAGCTTATTGAAGCTCTTTCTTCTAAACTTTTAAGCTGAAACAGATATGTATATTTCTTTTTTCTGCTTCAAGACTTTGGTGGCAGAGAACAACCTGAAGACTGTAATGATACACGATGGTCCCAAAAGAGATGTCTCTGGAAGCTGGTACCCAGTAGACATTCCTGCACCTCTGGGCCTTGTGGCATGGCTAGTTCTGCTTTCTCCATTTCTGTTCTGCCTTTCTAGACACCCTTTGAGTAAGCTGTAGGCTAAGACAAGCAAACTTTCTTTTGAGAGCAAATGTTGAAATACCCTGGACTTTGGTAATATTGAATGCTTTAAGGACATGTACTCAGCAGGACAGAATATGAGTTCTCAGTTGTTTGCACTGATCTGCTCTAGAGATGTTCCTGTTAGTCTTACAGCTTGTGTTTTCTCTGCATATTTTCCTTTATGATATTCATGACTCCAAGCTATCTGCTCTTCTTGGGCAAAAAGATTCATTTGGTTTCAGGAGAAGCTTCTCAGACTTGGGATGAGCAGCCTGTTCTGGGATCTGTGTAGGTCTGGCTGGAATCTCTTTGCTCCTTTGCAGACCGCCCTGCACACTGGCCCAAGCCTGCTGCCACGGTGAAAGACCCAGATCCTCAGCCATTCGTCCCAAGGTAACTTGGTGCACCTTCAATGACCACAGTCTTCAAACTCAGCCTTGTTTTCCTGAAAATCTGCCTGAAGGAAAGGCTGAAGTAAATGTGAGAGTGAAAGAGGGTAAGGAGGGCTATCTGGAAGAGCTAGGTCCACCCAGGATTGTCCCAGCAGCAGGATGCTGTTCTGTCAGCTTTATGTTGGTGAGATTGAGAATGAAGGGCATAGGCATATACAGGACTGGGTATTGAAGGCAAAGGAAATTCAGAGTCTGTCTTGCTTTGGAGCAAGTGGAGCGAATAGTTCTGAAAGATTTTATGTGCTCATAAAATAGGAATAGTTCAGACAGTTGCATCAGCAAGGGAACATTCAGCTGTGACTGCAGTACCAAAAAGGCATAATTCTCTTTCCTTTCTTGGTGACTGTTTGTGTGCAGGTGTTCAGGTGTTATCCAGCATGGCCTCAACCTGACCTCTGTCTACAGCCACTTCTTGCCACAGAGGGGACGCCCAGAGGTCACAACAATGCCCATGGGGCTTGGAGCCACTGTTGATTACATTTTCTACTCAGCAGAGCCTGTGGAGAACAAGGCGGGTGAGTGTGGCAGTGCAGGGCTTATCCCTGTGACATTGGAAGAGGACTGTGAGACAGGCCAGATGGGCAGTGCATTTCATTAGCTGGTGGATCTACAGGATCTGTCTTTGAAATAATACACAAGGTGGAAGTAATATTTGCTCATGTACCATGAGAAGACACTGTTTTATCTTTGCTGTGAAAAAAATGAGGCTGCTTATGTTCATGTAGACTTTTGAGGAAGCTAGAACAGAATAGATTCTTTTCTTCTGTATAAATATCTTACTTGTGCTCCTGATAACAGGCAGTGCTGGGTCCTGAGTTCAAGGCTTGGAGTTCTGGTCAGTCTGAGACGACATGCTTGCTGTTCTTGGAAGGAGGTGACTTTGATTCTTTTACAGTGGCACCTTCTCTCTGTTGCCTGAAACAGGAGTTTTGTTCATGAACGACTGCATGTAAATGCATCCAGGAACTCTCTTGGAGCTGATTTGGGTCATGTCAGAATCAAGTTTGGGGAACCAGTTAGGAATGAAGAGATTAATTCCTCCTCAGGGGAGAATCTGAAGCTATTGCTAGGCCACAGTTCAAGAAAGGAACTTTTCATGTAAGCAACTACCTGGTGAATTTAGTGTATTCTTGCTTCCTATGCCTGCAAGTATATGAAACCATGAACAGCAGTATTGTAGGGTACTCTCTGCTTTCACATCTAGGCTCAAGGGTGCATGTAGTGTTTGTGCAGGCAGTTTTCATTTATCAGGGAAAGAACGGGAGAGGATTGACAAGCATCCCTCTGTGAGTGTGTAGAGTTAATCTGTGGTGCCAGTCTCTGGTTGATGTTTCTTCCCATTTTCTTTGTCAGGTCGCAGGCTGTACAAGGACGGAGCCCTGAAGCTGCTTGGCCGTCTTTCTCTTCTCTCTGAAGATGTCCTCTTGATGGCAAATGGCTTACCAAATCCTTTTTGTTCATCTGATCATCTCTGCCTGCTGGCTAGCTTTGGCTTGGAGATCTCCAGCCTCAGAGAGAGTTAGTGTTGGTTCCCTTTCCCTAAAGAAAAGTTGTTCTGAATACAGCAGTTGAGCCTCTGGATTGCACAACCTGCTTGCAAGAAAACCCTTTTCCTTGTCATGCCCTAAAAGTCCTTTTATCCCCTCACACCCTCACTAAATGCAGGGATGGGAGAGTTGGAGCACTTTTTGCATTGGTATTTTCTGCATCTCTGCAAACCTGAGCTGTGTTCCCAGTGGGCTGATAGGTGTATTCAGGCATTAGCATCTTTTTAAGAGATCCTTGTTCCACTGCCTTGGTTAGCAGGTGTTTTTGTGCTGCAGGAACCAACATAACACCCATGGTTAATTGTCCCTTTGTAAGATTTTCAAGGAGCTGGAAAAGAGAGGAGCAATGCTATATCTGCTTTTGGTTAGTTTAATTGCTACCAAGGAGCATGGAATGTGTATGCTAATACTCTTTTACACCAAAACAAATTCTTTTCGTTCTTTTAATTTCTCAGTAATAGTTCAGTACTTTCAGGGCTAGTTGTTGTGTTGCCTTTTAGATTGGATCTGCTAACTGCTTAGAAATGTCTTTTACTTAATAATCTGTAAGGTCTGACTTGCTGACAGAAGGGTTTGTGTGGTGTAACAGTTTCTACAAGAAACTGCTTGCTGTGACTAATGGACCAGGGAATGGGATTGCCAGGAATGGAACCAGTGGTTCTACAGAGCCACTCACAGCAGCTCTTTCAGCTGCAGCAAAAGCCTAGAAGCCTTGGGAAAGGCTTCCTTCCTTTCTAGCAGTCTCAGAATGGTACCTAATATGTCATTTTTAGCAAAAATATTTAGGGACCTCGCAGTGAATATCCTGTGGAAAAAATTACCCTGTAAGGCATGATAACCCCAGAAGGCTATAACTCTGGTTGTCCCAAAAGAGAGATGAAGATGGAAGGCATGTGAGAGTCAGCAGAGCCATCAGATGGAAGAGCTGGTCTTGTCACTTGCCCTGTTCTTTGTGCACTCCCTATTGCAGTCAGCCTGCCAGGGGTCAATAGCCAACCTGTAGTATCCATCTCCTGCGCCAGACTGAAGTCCATGCTGCATCCTTCTGCACCCAGCCATGTTTAAGTGTAGATAGAACCCTTAGGATCAACTCCTGACTCTTGACATGCATTGGGAGGATGGGGAGGGCTGTGTAACTTGGAGCCAGACTGCAGTCGCTTGGATCCCAGTGTACCTTTGGTGTCCTGCTTTTTGTCCAGTACAAAAGCAGTTGAGCTGTACCTGTTCCTAGAGTAAATTCCCCAGTTCAACCTGACATTTGGTGCTCAGTTTTTCCCTAAGAGATGAAACCAGTCTTGGCAGAAACCAATATTGGCAGAAATATTATGAATCCTCTGTTCACAAACAAGGCAGGAAATCCAGTCCCACCTCAGGTTTTTGCAGGAAGGTGCAGGAGATTTGAAACATTGTTTGTTCTTCATGCTCTATATTGAGGGACTTTGATATTTTAAATGTTACTTTCCTTAATGAAAAATAAAATACTGTAATCTAAGAAAATACCACAAAGTAACTGTGGCACCTTGTATTTCTGGCTGCTGAACCTCTGAAGACTTTCTGGACAAGGTTTTGCTGGCTGCAAGGTTTTGCTGGCTGCAAAGAGGGCAAATTGACTACACAAGAAAGTAATGAGGGTTGAAAGAGGGAAGAAATGAGCCAAGACATCCCTAAATCCCAGAGGTGGCTTCTTTGGCATTGGGCTCGCCTTGCTCCCTCCATCCCCTACCTCCCCCCCGAAAGATTTGCATTCAGGAACCCTTGCCCTCCTCCCTAAGAAAGGAATACTGCTGATCTTTTACAGCTCACTTCTGTAAACTACAAAAACAAGGTGTGTGGGGGGGTAGGGAGTTACGTTCTGTGCCCTTGTGAGCATGTAGGGGCTGCATATTCCCCTCTTGCCCTGCCAGATGGTGTGGTATTTGTCTGGTGATGTGTGGATGGCTTTTGCTACCATTTGTGAGTTTCTGTAAGTGAACAGCAGTCTTGGGGGAGTGTGAATAATTTTGCCCTTAGGTAATAGATCTGGCATGGCACTGGTACATGGGGGGATGGATGGATGCAGAGATGTGCATTTATATGACTATGTTTATTTCACAGTTTGAATGATTTCTGCAAGTACTCTGACTTTGTAAGTAGTTGTATTTATAAAGGGAGGGAAGAAAAGAGTGAACTGAGAGCTTTGTTTTCTATCTGGCTCAAAAAGGTTGCCAGAAGGCAGCCTGGTTGCACATGACTCCCTCCTGCTGTTAACATTGTAATAGGAACCTTAGAAGACACTAAAGGTTTAACAGCAACCAACCAAAAGCACCACAAAAAATTTTGTGACACATAGTGTTGGCACTTAGAACTTTAGCTATCCTGAGTCTGAGGTCAGCTGGTGAGGAGGGGGGTGTGTGTGTGTGTATGTATGAAAGCTGCCCATAAGAGAGCCAGACTCAGCTCCAGCTCTCTTGAGACCCATAAGGTGTGCACCATACACCAGCAGATGAACTGGTTGCACCTGCACTGCCTGAAGCACCCTGCCAGTCCTGTGATACAACTCAGGTGGAGGACCTGTGTTCCAGTATCACAAGTGCTCTTTCCATTTTATATAAACCAAAACCTTGACTTGTGGGCAAATTGCATGGAAGCATCTCAGGGAGCTTTTAAGGTTCCAGCTATATTTTGCTGGAAAATCTAATGTTGCACAGGTCAAACTAATGCTTTTTCTTTCCATGCATGAAATAATGTGGTATGCACTTGGAATTGTTAATTTTTGAACACTGGAGATCGAGTCATGTGCAGAGAAACACCAGGACAATGCCTACTAGTCCCCTTATTCTTCTTTCTGGAGGTTATAGTGTTCCCAGGGTGACTTGCAGCTCTCAAAGCCCTGGCTTACTCATGATTTGTTGGGCACTCATAGCTGAAACTATGGCAGAAATACAGGACCATGGCTAGTGACTGTATAGAGACACATAGGTAGAGTTGAAAACTTCATCTCTGTGTTTATTTTGACCACTGTCACAGGAGCTCTGGTATGGACTCTTATGGAGGTGGTCTGTTTCAGGAAAATAAAAACCCCTGTGTTCTAGAGCAATTTGGAGTTAATATCAAATGGATCTGGAGACCTGTGAGTGCCTCTTGACTGTGTGGGATTATAGGAGAGGTTTGGAGGTGGGGTTGGTAGAAAGTTCCGAACTGTAAAATTGCAACCAGCATATAGTTGTTGGGAGAAAAATAATGTGTTTTGTGATGCTTTAAGGATAGCACCCACACATACAATCAGAGCCTGTGGTAATGAGCATTGTAATGGGATGCAGAACTGAGATTCCAGATGTAGCTCTTAAAACTGTTTCTGGACCTAAATGCATGATGAGTTTTCATTAACACAACTTTCTGATGAATTACAGAAGGATCTGTAAATGGTTATGAAAGTAGAACAGCAGTATCTGCAATGCTCAGAAAGGGAAGGTGTCACAGAGGTAATTACCAGCTACATCACCTTAGTAGTGATGTAGAGTTCAGGGAGACTGGTGCTTAGGGGAAGTGATGCCAGAGACTGCTGGCAGTGTGTGTACATTCCCTCTTAGCAGCCTCCTAAGCTGCAGGAGCATGCAGCTGTTGAGACAATCAAGTATTTCACTAAGTATCTTTACTAAAAAACAGTTTAATTTGCACCACAGCTGCTAGGCTGTATTTAGTTATTCTATTTAGATAGAAGTTGGACTTCCTTCATTTTCTCAGTTTTAAGTTCAGTGCTTCAGGAGGTTGCCCTTCATAACCAGTTTCCCCAATTACATGGGATGGGAGGAGTGGTAAACAATATAATTGCTCTATCTTCTTTCCTCTTCGTAATAAATGAAACTCGGCTGCTGTTTGAGGTCTTCTTTCTCCATGCCTTTTTCTTATGAGCTATCTCTCCAGCAGCTGTTTTCCCATGACTACTCTATCCAGTTATCTTTCTGAGTTACTGATGTTTATTTTTTCTGCAGCTGTATTTCTTCAGTTAAAAGTCATGGGTGCAATTCTCTAGGGCTAAGTGTTATTATAAATGCAACATATAAATGGTGTCAAGATGTAAGATAGTGGGTTTCCTCAGCCCTGAAAAATTAAGTGGGAGGATTGGGAGCTCTGGAACCAACACATAGGTGGGAGTAATACTTGTTATATAAAACAACAAAACTGGAGTTTCAGATTTATTGTTAGTGCTCTGTACGCCACCTGCTTTGTGAAGGCAGAGCTCTGAAATATACTTGACCTTAGTTTGTCTGCTCTGAGGAGTCTCCAAGAGGTCGTAAGAAGTTCAGCATCTCAGCGGATCAAGGTATGAGTCCTGCTCTTAACGATGTGTTGATGATGGTGTTGGCAAACAGTCTGCAAAGCAGGGTGTTGCTGCAGTCCAATAACTGCTCCCAATGCCACCACCTCAGTATTGAAGATTTATTGGATATACTGTTTAGATATTTGCAGACATATCCATGGGTCATCCAAATGAACCCTTTTGTTGCTTACCTCAAGGGGGAGCACACAAGCCTTAGTGGGATACCATCTCCTTTCAGGCTTCCTGTTGTGCAGACTAATTGAATTGCTGGCTGTGACCTGCTTCTTACCAGACTGTAGCTGCCTGGCCTGTAGTGCTTCCCATAGCACTGTCATGCTGAAATGCACAAGCTGAATTGAATATTCTGCGTTGTGTTTCTAACCATGATACTGAGTTTCTGAAGGGAACTCACCTGTTGCAATGATAACCAGGATGACAGATTAAACAGCTGGCATGCCTGTAACTCCTTTTGTCAGCTGTAAATGTTTGGCATCCCCTGTCAAGACAAGTTGTCTTCCTGCTTCCACTGAAAATGTCATTCTAGTCTTGAAGCTATTTTTCTATTTATTTATTTTAAAATTTATTTATTTTCTTTCAGATTTAGACTGTACATTCTGTGCTCTTGTATAATAGCTGGAAAAATTTTTTATAACTTTGATAAGACAAACACAGCAGCTTTCAAGGTCCAAGTCTGGCAAATGGGAGGACTAAGCTAGACACTGGCTTATGCTACAACAAAAGATGTATTTGTTCCATCCAGTCTTTAATTTCTATACACCAGAAAAAGAACAAAAAAAACCCCCCACCAAACCAAAGACCAAAAAACCACCAAAAAACAAAACCCAAAAAACCCTTGGCTTCAGACCTTAGCAATTTTATTCAGTTTTTTGTTATTTTCTTTCTGGATGCAAAGCCCTATATTTATTCTATATATTTAGTTATTGGCCAGTGCCTGGAGCTGCTCTTGAACTGGGAGTAGATGAATGCAGTAGTTATTCTATAGTTATTTCTCTCCTCCTTTCCTCCCTTAAAATGAGGTTAGAGATAAGATAGCACTCCCTCTTTGCCAAAATAAAAATATAATCCAGGAAAACAAACCTGGTTGAGTTAACTTAATTCTGTAATGGCCTGCTGTCCACAGCATGTCATATGCCTTTGCGTGCCATAGTCCTGCAGTTGCTGCATGAATGGTGCTCTTAAGGCTCAGTGGATGAATTTCTGTGTGCTTTTAGACATGTGAGAACCTTAAGTCTTGGGCCTCTCAGTGTAAAAACTGACAGGGTGTGGTTTTTTTGTTTCTTGGGGTTTATAATTTATTTTCTGCTTCAACATATTGTTTACCCTTCCCACAAGAAAGATTTTCCACTTAAGGTCCAAGCAGCATAATCTCTGACTGACTTGAAAACTAAAACTGCAGGAACAACCAGTCACAGGGGAAAAGCCTGATGTAAGAGGGAGCAGAAAGTCTGTGGCTGCCTCACTGTTTTGCTGTTCTCACTCCACCCTGATCTATACATCCATAGGGGATATAGGAGTTACCTGATTTAAAGCAAAATCTATAAGGCATGGAGCAGAGGGTGTTTTCAAGCAAGCATCTGAAGTAGATGCTTAGAACTGTGCAATTGCTTTCCTTCAGGGCAGAAGCAGTTCATGTAATTAACTTGGCTAAGATGGACTATTGCATGCGCCTTTCTCTTTGGAATAACAGGTCAGAGAATGTTTATTCCTTTCCTATACACACTGTAGGCTTGCCTACATACTGGCCTTGGTCCCAGCTATTACTCATTTCCCTAGAGAGAAGCGGTATGTTATGCCTGAAAGATGATAGCCTGAATAAAGTTGGATCCCCTTGCTGGGGATCCTTGCACTGAATCTTGCAGCTGACTGTCCTTTATTAACCCAGCATTTGTCTTGAGAAGTCCTGGTGAGGTCATTAGTCTGGAAGGTCACTAAGCAGACTTTGAGGAGAATTGCTTTCCAGGCCAGGAAGGGAGACTGAATTGTACATTGACAAGTTGAGCAGTGCAAGAAGAGGTTTGTATTAACCCTTACGGCATTGTTTGGTACAGTATTGTAAGAATGAAATTTTTGATGCTGCCTGCGCTGATTTTTTTCCCCATCCAGCCTGACTGATGGCAGTTCAAGAGGGAAAACTTGAATTCCTTTGCTAAACAGCCACATACGTACTTACTCTGGCAACTGCCTCTGTGTGCACAGACATACTCACCTATTCAGATGATTAAAGGAGGATGAGGGTTCTTCCATGTCCACTAGTGTAGCAAGTAAAGGACATCTTCACATAATTTGCCTGATACCATCACTCAAGGCTGTCACTTTGACTTCCTGCTGACATGTAATGGGAAGGTTTAAAGCAAAAAGAAGGACAGTACGGACAACTTGTTTTCTCTGCACAAGCTGAGAGCAGTACAGAGGCAATTTTATTGTCTAAGTGTCAAAGGAAGATGGAAGAAGTATCAACATGAAGGCCATGGGAAGTGCAGTAAAAACCTAAATCTAAATAAAAATTCTGTGTTGGCTACATAAGAACACAGAACCACACTGATTAATTACAAAAAGACACACATGATACTGTTCTTAAAGAAAGAAACTCTCAATTTCTTAGTTCTGAGCTGTACCAGTGATAAAGATGTAAATGGTTTTGCAGCACCTATCAGTGCTGGAGTAGAATACTGGTGTGCATGGAAGGGGACCGCTCTGGTCCCACTAGCACCATCTCAACCCTGACCTGGAGGGAAACTCTGCTCTGCAGAGATTATGGGGGATTCAGGAACCTTCTGAGCCTAAACTGAGTTGCTCTGGAGCAGAAAGGACCAGGGCACCACTGAAGGAGAGTGGCTGTGATACAAGTAAACACCTGCTCAGAAGACACACAAAAATACTAAATTCCCTAAGGAGTTCAGCTTGGCTGTAGAGGGGCCATCTCCACCTTTCTCTGGGAGAGCAAACATCAAGCCAGAATAGCACTTGCTTTGTTAAGTAAAGTTATAAATCCATAATGGTCTAAATGTTGTCAGGACAACAGTGCAAGGCCACTGGGATGTGTGGTGTTATTTCAGCCAGACTTGCACACACAATACACCTGGACACCCCCTGCCTATACCTACAGTTTGATCATCAGGACCACTTGAAATACTTCACTCAGAAGAAGCAGGTAGCTAAAGCAACCACCTGAAGTGACTAGCCAGAGCCACTGGAGCAAGGTCAAGCCAGTCTAATCAGACTCTTGCCCTTTGGCTAACAGGAGCTTTCTTCTGTTCATTGTGGTTTCTTAAACACTGAAATTTTAAGGACAGTCATATTCCAGTCTATACCACACCACACATGAGTCTGCCTTAGGGGGCAGGCACCTCATTAAGGCTTTCACCTGAAATACTTAAAAGAAAATTCATCCTGTTAAGCAGATTTGAAAACAGCAATACAACTACTATGTGAACAGAAACTATGTTTTGACTACAGTTCTGGATTCATTTATTCTGATAGATCCAAGGAAACAGTACTGACCCATACCCTGGCCCACAAATAAAATAGTAACTGAAAAAAAGCACTCCACTCCCACCTAAAACACTTGGTAACACACACCAATTTCCTAAAGACTCCTTTAGCTTCTACCAGTAAAAAAAAAAAAGGTTAGTATGTCACAAACTGATGGACACCCAACCCTGCTCTTTAATGTACAAAGTTTGTATCAGAGTGATGCTGTAGCAGAAAGTTTTGCTCAATTAATGAATCTGTCCATTAAAAAAATTGCAGTTGGCCAGGTATCAAGGGACTTGTCTACATAAAAGTATAAAGAGGGGCTCTTATTTCAAGGTTTGCATTACATTTAGAATAGTTTTGCTAGTAATAGGTCAGCATTTGTTGAAGTCTTTCAAAGCTCACCTCAGCTTCACATACAAAGCAGGCAGTGTCTATCCATTCCTAGTGTACAAACACAGTTCCTTTCCACAGAGCTCACAGGGCTTGTACTGCAGAACAGATATCATGTGAGACCTACTGAACAGTGAAATTTAGATCACAGAGCTACATGAGCGACCCTATTAATATTTAACATTAAAAAATTAATAGGACTCCTTGAGATCCATCTTCCTTGTTCTGCAGGCACTAAAGGAGTATGACTTACATTATCTTTCCTTCTGTGTAGCTCTAAAGCCTGCAGAAGTGAAAAAGACTCTCATCACCAGCCTTTTTTCCTTTTGGTTAAAGGCAGACAGACCAGAAACCAGACCAAGTAGGTGGGGGAGGAAAGAAGTCGAAGTGCTAAACTTTGTCTTGTACTGTACCCTCAGCTTTCTTACAGCATAAAGCTAGATTGCATTAATCCTCTCTGTCATGGAAGGATATGGTTTTGTTTGTTAGGAAGGAAGCAAAGCTTTGTATTGAAGTGATTCATCCATTAGAAAGATGGGGGGAGAGCAAGAGCAAGAAGGGGAGAACTCTATGGTCCTTTTCCAGTTTCTTGTACCATCTCCTGAAGTGGAGCTACAGAAACAGTAAGGAGCACGAATTCTACACAGAAACACAGTAGAAGGCTTGAAATGGTAACCCTGTCTCTGCCTGTATCCATCTTGAGATGTTAATCAACATTAGATACAAGCAAAGAATTAAATACTTCCTAACATATATAATTGTGCAACTAGATCTTGAAAGAGGATGTTCTTGTCTAGCTGCAGCTGAGGATTAAGAGACATTGAACTCTACCTGTCATTCATATCTTAAACATCCATTTCCTTTGCTTTTTCTAAGCTAATAGCTTTTTCTAAGCTATTGGCCTCAGTTACATCCTGCAGGAAAGCTCTTAATTACAAAGTCAAACAAAGCATTTTGTTTTAAGCCATTCTGCCCTGGTGATCTAACACTGCTGAACACCCCTGTTGCCCTGCTCCCAAGAAAGCATCATTAACTTGCAGCTGACCCCTCACTTGTTTCATCTGTTGTAAAGTCTTCTTCCCACCCCCACATTTCCCCTTTCCATCTAAAATAGCTCAAGTCTGTCCAGTTATTCAATATTCTCTGTATTAAACTACTAATTACTCTCAAGAGCTCTCCAGTTACTCTGAATTAACTAACCAATTGAATAAACAAAGTCATAGTTAAGATGTATTCTAGGCATCTTTTATAATTTTCTTTAAATTCTGGATTTCATCCACTTTAAAATAAAACCTGACAGTCAGTTTCCCCTTGCTGACTGCTGCTTGTATTTATCATATGATTCACAGTGGCATCTGAACTTTCAGTCTGCTGCATAGTAAACATTATGCAAAGGCAGTTTGTGGCTTCCAAGTGGCCCATATTATTTACAGGTATCTTTTGACATATTTAGTGTCTGGATGCTAACAATGATGTAGCCTTTACAGCTAACATCATTGTTAGCATCCAGACACTAAATATGTTAATTTACAGCCACACAAAAATGACCAGAGGACATGTTCAAATGGGTGCTTGGGTCACTGCTGCTGTTAACTTCAGTTGTTGCATGTAGCTGTAATATGAGGGAGGGGACAGATGTTGCACTGTACTGTGAAAACTGGCATCCTCTTCTGGATTAACCTTCTCTTGGCTCAGCAGCAAGTTCTGCCACCTTCTTACAGATTTTCCTCTTGGTTGTACAGCACAGCAGAAAAGTACAGACTACAAAGGGAGATTGGAAGGACTGACTGCAGTGGTATGGATACATCTTGCAAGTTACATCACAGTTAAGGATGTACAATTAGGAACCTGTAAGGTCTGAGTTAAATCGCTTGTGGGTGGTTCTTCGAGGATTAACTGCTTTAACTAGGCAGAAGAGCTGATTTGTTTGGGGTTAAGAACCCATTCTCTGCCACCAAAATAGCTCTACTTATTATGAGGATGTGGCACAGGAATACTGTAACAAAAAAACTAGTAGAGCTAAGCTCCATCATGTTTCTAACAAAGAAAAAAAGGAAAGAATAATCACAGTTCTAACAAAATTAAATATGTGGTATTTCAGAAAGTGTAGCTCCTTGTCAGTGCTGTGATAAAACAAGACTGTTTCTCTCCAGGATACTCCCACTCCCAAGCTCAGTTTATTCATCCCCCAGATCCATGCATCCAAATCACTTTAAGACCATGCTGTTCTGACTTCTGGAAATCCCACTGTTCCCATGGCCTAGGCCTCAAACAGAGAGATCCTGACAATACTCCAGATTTCTGACAAGCATTACACTGCTGAATCAGTAGTACAACACTCCCCCAAAAGAAGCATAGGAAGTAAAGGCCACAAGTGGCAGAAAGGCCCAGCCCAGCCCTTTGGGAAAGGTTAGTATAAGTGGTGCTATTACATACTGCAGCTATCCAAAGAGCCAGAACACAAGCACAGCTCTGGCACTGGGGTGGGAAACTGCTTTCAGGAGGTTCCAAAGTGAGCTGTCAGGAAAGCAGCTGCAATTTCCTTGAGCAGAGCTTCTCACAAACAGGTGTATGCAACTCTGGCACTAACACAATAGGGAGGAAGGAGCAAGAGCCTTGTGGAAAGGAAAAAATGCTTGTAAAACCTGCTCACATTATTACATTCTTCTTTAACTTTTTACTCTTAAAACTTGTACCTCAGTGACTGAAGTGCCTGCCACAAGCTTTCTGAGTAGCAGCCATTAGAAGTTAGTAAAGAGAAGGCTGATGAACAGATGATGTGAAGTTCGGGTTCTCCACCAGCCCCCACCCACCCCATCTCCATTGCTAGAACAATTGAGCTCTCAATGCCTGTTTTTATGTAGCAGTGGTATAGGCATATCCTGATCCACTCAACCACCAAAGGGCCTACAGCAACAGTTCACTAGCATTCCACTGTCTACCCCCTCAGAGACAATGAAATACTTCGAAATAGGCAGGACTAA